CATCTGTATATCGCTCGAGGCATGGGATGATGTGTCGCCACTACTATCGAACGGTCGGAAATCAAATTCATGAAATATCAACACCTTCTGTTCTGTCCATCAGAGTTTCGTGTACTGACCCAAGTCAGCCATACTTTTTTGCCATAAAAATATCATCGTAACAACAGTTTTTGTCCAATTTCAACGGCACACTGGAATGTACTTTCACCTCCTTGTTTTCTTTATTCTTTTTCTTTCCAGCGTTTTGTGTTGCAGACATGAGCGCTTGTGTCTGCATCGCATCATCTCGTAGATGGGGAGGAAAGCAAGTGCTTCTGCAGCTCGCGGCCCGAACATATCGTTCCTCTCAAGCCGGCGCGGCAGCACCACGCACATTGTGCATACTTCCCAACTTAGGCGACACCTGGGTGCACAAGCAAGCGCCAAAAGCGCAAGGCCGAAATTTCAGACAGATTCACAGCAACATATCAACCACTGCAGCCGAGAGCAGAGAAAGGGGTGCACCAGTCCACCCACATATTAAATGCAGTCGATGTATTTGTTCCAATACGCCCTTCCGTGAAGGAAAAGGGTGAACACAAGCTCACAAGCTATTTGAAGCGACCGAAAAAGTATGGAAAACTAGCAACACAGTACAATGCGATGAGCAGCGGCATTAACGGGGCGCCAAATTCATGGTATTTGGACAGTACCGGCGTACCAGTGCTCCAAGATAGACACATCTTATCCCACTGAACTCCAAGACGCCCAAACGAGCCAGAGGTTATGCATTCATATTGGGTGCGACGTTGGTCCATTTCCATCTACTGTTGGTTTCAAGGGGATGGAAAGTCGGTTCGCCAAGCAAACTCAGTACATCAGCAAGGGTTGCACATGCAGTACCGGACTTGAATTGGCCCCTTAATGCACAGTTGTTGTCAACGGAGCAGGGTGTCGACGACGAAGAATAGATCGATCGATATCAACGGAGCTAAGTATTATCCAATCGGCTGAATTCAGGCTTTGCGATGGCGGGTCCCAAAGTAAGAGCAGTGTATCCTGTCGGTCCCAAACACTGGGCGTTGGTTTGGGATCAGTCACCCAAAGAGAGCCACCGTGATACACCCCCCCCTGAGCGAGGCATTCTCGGTCCACAATAGCATCAGGGCGAGACCAAACGATGCGACCACTGGAAGAAAACTTCCAATGCCCGCAAATGTCGCCTCCGTCCACTGCAGCAGCAACGCTCCGAAGAGGAATGTGTGGGGGCCACAGCGCAGCAACCGCCACCCCACACAGACGCAATGTAATTGTAATGCGATGTGCTCGTCCCATTCGGCCCATTCCGGCACTGGGCCCCCCTCCCGGTTGGCGCAGCCCACAGGCGCTAACTCCCAGGCGCTGATGACCCGACACCTGCCAACCCCATCTGGCACAGCAACGGCTTGGAGGCGACCCCGCGACGCGCATCCGCACCTGCGCAGGCGGCCTTGCTCCTCAGAGCGGCGGTGGCGCAGCCCTTTGGGTAAGGATCGGTGCACGGCAGACTCGCCTGTGGCCGAACCCTCATCAGCTGCATCGAAGCGCCCAGAAGGGGCGGCCGGTGCGCCTGGGCCGGAGCGATGGCGGACACGCAGCCACCGCCTGTGGAGCTGGAGCGCCAGGGCAGCGAGGAGCTGCGGCTAGAGAGCCTGAAGAAGGCGTCCCTGGCGATTTACCACGAGGGGATCGGCATCAAGGACGCGGCCAAGCGGTTCAAAGTAACGTACGCCGACCTCAAGTACTTCTACGAGAACGAGGCGCAGGACTTCCTGCCCCTGGGCGACGACGACGACGACTATGACTGAGGGGCACGCGGGAGAGGGTACGCCGGCGCGCCGGCTGGACGGCGGATTGCCCCCGGGGCGGCGGGTGGGGGAGGGGAAAAGAACGGGACCTGGCGGTCTGTTTGGGTCAACAGCGGTTTCGAGGGGTCCTGGAGTAGGTGCAGGGGGGACTGAGCGGCACCGCGTGCCTGGGACGCTGGGAGACAGATGGATCGCAGATGGCTGGGTGGCAGGTTGAGGAGATGTACAGCTCTGTGTGTAGCTTTGGTGTGCATGTGGACTGAGGTGTCTGCCCCGTGGCCAACCACCAGAGGAGGTCGCCTCGCTCCCAGCCACCTTTGGTCCAGCGGGGTCAACTCTCACCTGCCTGGCTTGAAGACCTCAAGAGATCTCTGTCCGGGTGGCGGGATCTGCGGTTGTCTGTCTGTGCCCATGGTCACCCTGACGCGGTGCACATGGCCGGGAGAGTCCGTGGGGCCATCACTGAGGTCCACCTGGGACGGCCTGGGCGCAGAACTCGGACCTGCACTTGATCGAGCCTTGCCGGGGGCCTCCCCCTGCCGCCACCTGCAGCTGAAAGCTTGGTTGCCTGAATCAAGAGGGTTCCCTTGCTCCACAGCGTCGTTGCTGTGCCGTGTGTCCTGTGCATCCGCGTTGGCACCGCCTGTGGCAGCGGGGAGAGGTCCCCATGTGCCCGTTAACTCGTCTAAATTTTTTTCTTCCCGAAATGTGGCGCACCCTCGCTGTGCGTTCTGCTTTTGGTTGTTCCGCCTGCCGGGGCCCTGCGACGGCGACGTTGCCCAGAGGGGGCTGCCGCGGCCCCGCGCCTCCAGCGCTGCCTTGCGCGCGTTTGCACCGCCTTCCTGAGCGTACTTTCAGTACATTCCCCCAGTACTTTCCAATACGCTTCAGTACTTCCAGGGCTGCTGATGACGTGTTGGGGCCCCAGGCTCGGAAAGGTTCCAACCCTGGAGTGAGAAATCCAGCACCCAGGATACCCCCCCGGAAGCATGATTTCCATCTGTGTCTTCGGGTTGCTGCGCTTAGAGACCCTTGAATTTGGTAACATGAAAAAGCATGCGCAATCGAAATAGCCAAAATAACCGAAGTCGCCTGCCTGGTTAACTTGTAAAAGTTAGGAAGATGTTGAACACACTGTTGGCAGCATGCTGCAATTCTGGAGTTGTCGCAAAAGGTAAAATCAGGTAGGATAGACTCGTTTGCCCAGACGACAGTGCTGCCAAGCTCACATTCACTCTGCACAACACTTTTGTCAATGCAGGGGTAAATCGGGCCTTGCAGCTCTTGCAGGTAGATACCAATGCTTGTGCCGAGTGTTCAAATATGCAGTCATGCGGCTGGCACGATCCATTATGCCACTGCAAATTCTTCGCAAACAAAATTCCTGTGCATCCAATGCCATATTCCCTGCGTAGCAGTGTATTTTCGTGATGCACAGACACTTGCTACCACCTGTGTCAGCATTCAATGCCTGCTGTACAAGACATCACTTGAGAAATGGCTGACCTCCGCCACAGGCCACCATCCTATTCGCTCAATGGTGGCCATCGAAAGGCTGTATGTGAGCCATTTAATTCACAATTTTGCTTCTTTGTGTTGGCATGGGGGGAGGCAGGTTGCTCAACATTTTCAAAGGGCTAGTCCGGTCTCTTCAAACATGTATGTGCCAAAGACGAGTACAAGACATTGGGCTATTTGGGCTCACCATTAGAAGGTTTAGGAATGTAGAGCACCTTGTGGGCACTGCCTCCATTGGATGTCTTCTATGGAGATGGTGGCAGGGTAGGGAGACTTGTGCTGGTCTGCATGTTTTCTTGCGCAGCGTGCATGCGCCATCGCCAAACCAAGCCTATGGCAATTTCTCTAGTTCCCCCAACCCTACCACCAACTGCCTCTTGTGAAAATGTTAGCCTCCATACAGGCACACCATATGGAATTCTTCCAATGGAACCTGCAACGACTATCCTTGCCACTGTAGAGACTTGTCAACTCTTCCTGAAACATCGTGCCTGACGGACTCTGGCCGCTGTTGTCTGGAAGCGCTCCAAACCTATATCAATGGTCCAGTCATGCTGCACTCCATTCCAGTACCCACCGGGAGTGCATGGCTGTTGTTGACTGCGTTCGGCACTGGTGACGGCAAGTCTGTTTGTTTAACATTGGATCTCCCAGATTCGAGGATGCAGCACTCCATTCTGTTGCCCACCAGGTGTGCATGGCAGTTGTTGATTACGGTCGGCATTGGTGACGGCATGTCCGGTTGTTTGACAATGGATCTCCCGGATTCCAGGATGAGAAACGGCAATAATGGCCACCTTCAGACTGCAATGGAGTACAGAAGCCCAGGTGAGGCCATAGTGGAAACAATGAAATCTCAGAGGCCGATGGTATTGGGGTTCCACGGTTGACAGGCTCGCAAAGCTCATGCCAAGGAGGGGGTGGGCCATTGAATGACTTGCTTCGATTCCGCTCGAAAGACAATCGTTGATGTAGGAGTTTGCCTGTGAGAAGTGTTCCACACGACAACGTCGCCCATCTGCACACACGCACATATGGCCTCCCTGAGTCCTTGTCTTGTTGTCAACGTGCTGCTCTGCGTTGTGTGCGTTCGCGTTGTGCTGAGGGACTGCTGCGCTGTCTTTTGCAGCATGGAAAGGCGTCTCAAGCCCACACTTCTTATCAGGAGGGGCCTGTCCACTCTGTGACGCGTCCCTCTGTCGCTGCATTAAGCCTTCCGCATATGTACCACACCCAACCCAATCCCACAGGGCTGCCGCGGCGGCCCGGCCAGCACTTTCAGCTTCGCACAGGCCACAGCCGCTGCTTATGCGCATTGTTTGAAAAAGGCCACAGTTGCACCAGTGCTGTGGATCACCTCCTTCCGCTTTGCGCACGTCCGCCAACCCTGCTCGGGCGTCTCCCCACTGCCACCCTACTACGACCGGCCCCAAGGTGCGCGTGGCCTTCGAACGCCGCGACCTGCCAGCGAATGGTCGACGCCTGTCTTCAAGGCATCCTCCCTCCGCCCTCGCGAATCCATCCAGATGCGGATACCCAATGAATGCCCCAGAAGGCATACAGGGCAACCAATGGCGCCTTAGGTACGGGAATTCCTCTGTACTTAAGGTCTCTTCGAAGAGACCGCGAGCAGGAGGCAGGATCGCCGTGGTTGCCATGGCGCAAGCTGCAGGGGACGGGGTTGCCAAGGCGCGTGTTGACCCTCTGAGACCCAGGGTCAAATCCGTGGCGTCGCTGCTACAGGCTGGCACTGGAGGGCGCACCCAGCGGTCGGCGCTGTCAGCGTACCGCAGCGGAGCAGAGGACAAGTACTACCTAGGATTCGATTTCGGCACGTCTGGCGCCAGGGCGAAACTCATTGATGGTGAGATCGCGGGACTCTGTGGGTCCTTTTTGCAGTGGATATTGATTGTGCGGATGGAAAAGCTGGCCCTTAACGAAGTGGATTAACTTTGGAATCTCCAAAGAAAAAAGAATAAACACGGCAGCATATGGGGCAATAGTATGGGGGCAGTGGTCTGCTTTGATGGCCGTTTGTGGTGTGCATGAGCCTGAAATGTGGAATGGCTGCAACTGCAGATGCAGGAAACGTTGTCATCGACAAGAAATGCGGTTACGATTCCAAGCACGATCGGTTGGATGCACAATGGGAAAGGTGTGCTCTGGATGCAAGCATTGCGCCCTTTGGCATAAGGACAATAACATTGTTGAAATTGATCCATTGCACTTGATTGAATGTTGAGAACTTATTGTTTAATTATATTTGAGTGCATGTTCAGAACAATTTGACACTGTCCAGAGCTCAATGATTGCTGCTGCAGGCACTGAATGTGGTGCCCTGCTACACTACCATGCATGATTATTGTGCATGGCTGCTGTTATCATGCCTATCTGAACATGCAGATCATGCCCACAAGGGTGTCGGAGTGCTCAATGGCTGCCCTTGGCTGATTCGCGCTGTTCTGTTTTATCTGGCATGTGTTTGGCTTCAAATGAGTGTTGCTCAGCAATTGCTGAGTTGTGATCGACTTCAGAAAATGGTTCAGCATCAGCTTAGTTGTCATCTGCTGTCACTGTACCAGGGCACTGGACAGCCTGTTGGAACAAATGCCAGAATCTGTTCTGGGACGTGTGAGCGCCCTTGCATTTGATGGAACGTCGGCAACAACCATGCTCATTGATCGAGGCACAGGGGAAGTGCTGGAACAACCAAAGTTGTACAATGAGGGCCAGGGCCTACCTGCCCAGGAGCGGGCAAAGGTACAGGCCATGCCATGTCTCCATGTTTGGGTTTTGCTTCCAAACACAAGGAGTGCGGCACCAGGAACAAAAGCACATAGCCCAGAACCTTACAATGTGGCATCTGGATGTTTTGAATGTGACATGAAGTGTTGGAATAGTGAAGTGCACAGATTGCCTTTGCATTTAATGAATGCAGCATCAGGTTGCCCTGGGTATTTGTCCCAGCTACCCCTGAAATATGTTGATCGCTCTCATTCATCTCCTCACCATCTGCAAAATGTACATGGTGCACAACTGCCTGCACAGATGTCCACCCCTGCGACACTAGTGGTTTTGCTGAGCCAGATGATGGTCATCGTGGGGTAGGCCCTGCAGCTTCAGATGCATGTTGTGGTTGTAGTTGAGGTCGCCAGTCCATTCCAATCAAGCATTGCCGATCGGGTATTTGCTGAAATTGCTGTGTGCTGCAGCAAGTGTCTGCAGTGTTTGTTGAGACTCGTGATTCCTGTACAAGACTGACATAACACACAACCCTACAGGAAATGTGTCCTGTGGGCCATGCTGCACGTGCCTCCACCTCGTCGTTGTGCAAACTACTGCAGTGGGACTTTGAAGGGGCATGGCAGAGGGCAGAGTCAGAAGGGCATGTCCCAGGCATCTTGCACCAGGCTGACTGGCTTGCAGCTCAGTTTCATGGTCAGCAACACTGCAGCTGCATATTCCAGCTTGTAGGATGCTATTTTTATGATACTTTTAGGACTTTCCTATCTTGATGCATGTCAAGCTGCCTACAGCTTTTGAATGTGGACATGGACCATGGGGTGGCTGCCCCTCCTGGACGTTCTCCAGTGTCCCCAGTTGCTGCTACTTTCCTAAAACAGTGCCTGTGATTATTGTGCTTTAATTTTGTGCTCTTCGGAACTTCTGCTGAGCATGGCATGTGCCTGTGTAATTATAAGAGAAACACAATGTGCTTTGAAGGCTCCTTCACTGCCAGCAGCAGAGCAGGCCAGCTGTGGCAGACACCTGGCAGGATTAGGAAATCATACCAGACGCTTGTGGACCATAAACCACAACGGGTATTGTGGGTCTCTTGAATTTTTCTGCTGGCATTCACCATTGCCTGCTCATCAGTCACCTTAAAAGCAGTAGAAGTTCGCACATTATTCTGCCTCCTAATTTGTATCTGCTGGTTGTGCTATTGCCAGGTGACTGGAGCTGTACGGACTACACCAACTCTCTGAAACTGGGCTTCGATCCTGGTGCCGAGCAGTATCCCCAGTGGCTTGCCTCACAGGTACAGTCCCCACCCTCAGCTGTTTTGCTGCCTCCATTTGATGCCATGTTTCTGGTGTTCATGGTTGCTTGTTGGCTCTGTGGAAATGTGCTTTTGCTGGTTGGCATGCTGGCATGACATTGAACATTGTCAAATGGCACCGTTGTTAATTTGTGCACACAATACATGTTACTGGAGCTCAGGTGCTTGAGAATTGGCAGACCTTGTGTCCTGCACTGAAAAGCAGATGGTTCCAGATGATGCAATTTGGTTTGTTAATAGGAGAACATGGTGTATGCCAGCCCATCCCACTGATAGGGCACACAATGTCCTCACAGGATTTCACATGTACCCATCTCTGGCATCTTCTACATACCCAATGAAGGATAACAAACCAGTAGCCAAAATATACCAAGTTGAAAACTCTTTGTGTGGGTCACAGGCCATTGCCAGAAAGCAAGTTCAAGTCATCTTTATGGGAAGGGTGACACCTTGGTTGAGAAGCATACTGTTGGACACTCCTGTTTGGTTGCACCAGTGTGTCGATTTCTATCCAAGAATAGGATTCAACTACTCATTGGCAGGATTGGCTCTCATCGACTGCAACACGATGCCTGTTGACAATGCTGTCAGATAGTTGTAGAGCATCAGTCTGTCTCAGATGCTTATGCAGCAGCTGAGGACCCTGCATCGATGTCTAAGACAACCTCAAAATTTTCAACAATGCTATTCCAATGCTGCACATCAATGAAGTGGGCTCCATAACACATCTGCCCTTCCCAGCCTGGGAAGCTGCAGCAAAGTTTGGCATGTTGCCATATTCATATCTGCCTTTCACAAACCAGTCTATTCAATCTTAATGTTGTTTTGTAAATTGCCGAATGGTATACCTGTGCAGTTGTGCCGTTTCAGAACATAACTTTGCCGCTTATTTTGACACAGTCAAATCTCAGAGTGGCTGTGTTGTGCACATGCAAGGGTTAGAAATTCGCACACCTGCTGCCGGAAAGGGTTGTGGCTCCAGGTGCCCCAGTGGGTCTCGTTTCACACACAGCCAGTGGCAAGTGGGGCATCCCACAAAGCTGTACTGTGGGCGGAGGGACAACTGACAGCATCGCTGCAGTCGTGGCTGCTGGCATAACTGAGGTTGGAGAGGCAGTCACAAGTCTGGGATCCACAATGGCCATCAAAATGTTAACGACAGAGAGGCTGGATGATGTGGAATATGGCATCTACAGCCACAGGCTAGGTGAACCACAAGTAATGCACTTGGTGTTGTGTGCATATTTCTTTTCTACTTGCTCTGTCAGCTGTGTATGCTAGGCTGTTAGGTTCATGTCCTTTTGCCTGCCTTGCGCTGTACAGCTTACAGCCCTGCAACCATATCTGCTCGAGTTGATTGGAGTTTCTGATCGTTCATCAGTCACCGACTTGTTGCACAGGTGACATGTGGTTAGTTGGTGGAGCTTCAAACACTGGTGGGGCAGTCCTTCGACAGTTTTTCACAGATGAGCAGATGCGCAAATTGACACCCTTGCTAAAGCCATCAGAACCAACTGGCCTGGACTACTATCCACTGCCAATCCAAGGAGAAAGATTCCCAACGAATGACCCGAAATTGCAACCACACATGGATCCACGGCCAGACAATGATGCAGTGTTTTTCCAAGGTGAGCACCATCCTACGTTGTCTCCACAGTGTATTCAACCACTCGCCTTAATGTGGGAAAAGAGGTCCTTGAAACACGGAGTAAATTAAACAATACAAGAGTACGTTGCCAGTGGTCTTGCCGTTGCGGTTCGGGAATTTTGCGATGTTTTGCATGTCATGTGCTGGGTGCCTGGTGTCCCACCCCAGCCAGGGCTTGTTGTGGCATCGACTTGTCACACACAAGGTGATCAGTGTTGCATCTATACTTCAGATTATGTCTGTGCGGGAACCTTTCTGGGAACACCATGAAGCACATTCCAGGAGGAGCAATTGGACTTTGCAAGTTGTGATATTGTTGAAGCATGGCACAGAGCATGTGAGCTGATTCATCGAATTGCAATTGAAGCTGTCACCCTTGACATATTGGGACGCATGGCCGGTTTGGTTGTGTCCATGGAAGCCCCATCGATTATCATTTGTCAAGTTTGCAGAGCATTGTATGCTCCAGTGCTCCAGACTTTATTTGTTTGCCAAGTACTTCACTTTGCAGTCAACCCTAAACATTCGTCTGCGCCACAAAGCCACAGGCCAAGCAGGGTCAGGTAAAATGCACCTGACACCCAACTTGTCGCAGCTGTTTCCTTGACCTCCCTGCCCCTGTCCCTGCCCCTACACACTGAGTGCAGTGAAGGAAAAGTAAAACAGCACGGTAAAAACTGTGGAGCAAAGGTGGGGACCCAGATTTGAGGCGTGTACAATTTTCTATGTGCCATGGTCCAATATTGCTCTGGGCAACATTAATGATGCTAGTACACCTGTTACAACCTGGGGCATAGAATCTGCGCCCTTGGGAGCACACGTGAGTGTCCCAATTGTGCATTATTCAAGGTCTGGTTCCTCGTCTGACTTTCACTCATTGTGCTGCATCTAGGACTCCTGGAGGGTATTGCACGCATTGAAGCAAAGGGCTATGCTCTGCTTGGCTCTATGGGGTCTTGCCCTGTGAACCGTGTGGTAACTGCTGGTGGGGGGGCTGCAAACGAGAAATGGAATCAAATTCGGCAAGCTGCCCTTGGGGTTCCTGTGGAGCGGGCAATGCAAGGTAACACAGGCAACTGATGAAACAGTGAGGAATGGAACTACATGGCAGCTGAATAGGACTTTCAGATTGTGAAATTCAGAGCGATGCATTTTCTTGAACTTGCACAGTGAGAAAGGATCTTTCGAAATGCCATCGACTGCAGAAGGCGCTGCCCTCACATGCGTAACAAGCAGAAATAGCGATCGGATTCAGTAAATGCGGATGCTTGTTGTAGCAAGGTTGTAGCACACAGGAGCACCTGAAATCTAGGAATGGAAAATTCAGCAAATGATAGTATTCATTTCAGGACCATGCACTTGTCTTGGGTATCTTTGCATCATAAGCAACATTGACTTGGTTCTTTCCTCATTCGAACAATTTAGGCACCCCTGGACAAAGGGCATAGCTAGACCTGATTGGTATCGTTCATAGGACAGTCATATACGATTCCAAACTGGCCATTTTGTTGGCTAATCCAGAGCTTCCTGCTCACCCACATCGTGTGCAAGCCCTTATAACGATCTCGCCACCATGAAATTGGACATTGTTTTTGTTCAGTTGATGGATCAACAGGCTCGCACACCAAAATGCAGCTGCTCATGTGTGTTGTGTCATTTCTCAGATGATGCTTCATATGGTGCAGCACTTCTGGCCAGGCAAAGCAGACAGTCCTATGAGAGACTCCACTCAGACCAGAGATGATAATTGTGATGTTCAGGTTCATTGGATTAGCCCTTGCCCTGGCCATCAGCAGTCATCTGCGCAAGCGGGGCCGTGCCACCAGCTGCTGGCTGACATGTGATGTGCAACAATCTGATTGAGTACATGGCGATGCTGTGCAGTGCACAATTGAATGCTCTTTTGCAGACATGCCTGTGAGCTGGGCAAGGACCTAACAAAAGGCACCCATAAGCATGAGCACACAGTATGAATTTTGACCATGTGCCTTTTGACCATTGCTCTGATGTCTACCTGCAAGTGGGATCCCTGGCAAGGCGTTGCTCTCAAGATTGATCCCCACAGTGCACATGATAGGAGCTGGGAAACAAATTGTTGAGGAAGCGGTGGACTGATGTTCCTACAGCCACTCAACATATGTACAGTGCAGACACTATACCGCATGTCACCCCCTATTGCAATGCCTGACGGCCTGGTCATTCCAAAACAATTAATTTTACAGGAATGCACAACACAGTCTGGTTGCGCAGACTCAGGGTTCCCAGTGTTTAGTGATGGCCAGCAAGTGTTTAATGTGGGCCCACATGCACACATAGTGCCATCTCACCCTTGGCAGCTGGGTTTCGTCCACGCCAGGGCACCATCCCAGCTGTTGCTTGACAGCTCCAATCTGTCATGTATTCAGTAACCTGGTGAAGAGAAGTGGAAACAAATTGGCACGCCCAAAATGTTTCTTTTGTTCGAAGAGTCCCATTCTGTGAGCCGTAAACAGTACTGTCACTGTGACATCGTGCTCCTGGACCAGCAACTCATATGCAGTGCCCCAAAACTACAAACATCCCCTTGCCATTGTTTTCATGTACAGGCCGATTTCCAGCGTGTGGATTACAAATCACGGTATGCTGGTCCTGGACCAGCATGATGTCAGAACAACGTCACAACTGGTCATGGATATTGTCTTGGTAGGGAACTGGTTGTAACTAATAGCTCAACAGGGCAATAGCTTGTTCTGTGTAGCACATACAATGGACGCTATGTATGTGGGTCCCAGTTGATTGTGTAGGATCCTCAAGCTAGCACAGCCCCTGCTGTTTTTGTTCTCAGCTTCTCAGTGCTTCTAGCTTTCAATCAAGACAAACACGTTGAGAAGTTGGAAAATTCTGAGGTCTTGTGTTCGCTAGTCGTAAGGGCGGCAGCCTTGACATCCTTAGCAAAGCTGTAACCCGTGTCCCTTCGGGAGCGTTCGCGATCTTACTTGGGTACCTCTGGAAAACCGACAGCCGCATTAGGCGCCACGCTTTTGGTAGGTCGACCAAATAATTAGCTTGACAGGCTGCTTGACAAACTCTCGGCGCTCACGCCGTTTGCGTCATGCTCACCAGCACTCGCTGCCGTGGCCAGCTGCTTCGACGCGGCGTCTGTCCGCGTGCGTCACCAAAGCTGAATCGGTCGACGGTCCGCTTTGTGAATTCCGTGCTGGTCGACAATGGCGTCGCACACACCCCTCAAGATACCTCTGGACAAAGGCAAAGCGTTGGACGCGATAGTTTCGTCTGCCAACAACCGCAAGCCCTCCAACGGTGACACCCTTGACCGACGGCCATGTCCCCATCGGCAAGCCGCAAGCTGGCCTGGGCGCGCATGGCGCGTTTTCGCGCCTTTTCGCGCTGCCGCTGTTCCGGAAATTAACGCGAGCCCCCGCCACTGCTCAGTGGGGGTGCTGTTTGCGCATGGAGCCGGCGGGACGATGGACTCTGGTCACCTTCCAACGCTTGCCGCCGCTTTCGCGGAGGCCGGCTTCCCCTGCCTCAGGTTCACGTGCCGACCACCGCACATGCCCACAAGGGTCAAGAGTTTTAAAGTATGAGGCACGAAAGAGGTGCAATTCCCTCACTTGCCATTCCCTTGCTTCTTGGCGTTCACAAGACACACCCTGACACGAAAATGGCGACTGGGGGCAATTTGTGTGCATTTCCAACGTGTTGTCCCGACCCATGATACAATCCTGAGATTCGGAAGAGCCTGAGTATTGTCTATGGAAGAGGTGGGAGGAGGGAGACTGGGACTTGGTGTGTGGCTGATTGGATGCAGATTTTGTGAAGGGGGCAACTATCATCTGTTTCCACTTCCTGGCGCGCATCCCCTAAAGGACTGATGACTGTGAAACTCTTTACAACTTGTCACACCTTACATAGCATCAACCTGGCAACTTGCAGGCGATGAATGGCACATTAAACTGGCACTTTTGCACTCAGTCAGACCATGCCACGCAACACAGCTCATCGGGCCCACAACTGATGGGTACAATCAAGAAAGGAAAAGGAAAAAAGAAATCATTCGGAAAAAAACATATCCTGAACAGGAACAGGGTAGTTGCTGACCGGAAATTGAACAACGATTAATGCTGAATAAATACTGTTGAATAATGACCACAACTGAAACTGATGCATGACTGTTGCCAGAATCCAAATTGACGCAAGGGGTATAGTGATAACTAGGAACACCAGGGGCTGCTGACTGTGGCTGCTAGTGCACAATTGATGCATTTAATGGGAGTACAGTGGCGAGATGTTGCAAAGAGAAATGTTCACTATCTTCCCATGTTTTCCTTTCAAGTTTTTGGATTGCTCTTGTACGAGGTTTGGCACCTACATTTATTTGGAATTGTACCTACTTTAATCAGCAGTGCATGGCATTGTGACAGGACAGCTATTTGTTAAATCACCAGGTCATCCTTGTGCAGTTTTGGTGTGCCTTTGCAAGTCCTTGGTGGTGCTGTTGGACATCTTTCGAGCTGCTTTATGGTGACTCCTGTCAACATTCATCCATAATTTGAAGATTTTTTGTTTTTGGCGTTGAAATTTCTTTCTAGCCTTGGCTGGCGCTCACACCAATGGGTTTCGTGTGCCTGTGCTGACCCTGGATCAGAATTGATAAAATGGCCCTTTCTATTCTGATCATTTCGTATGCAGGCATCCATGGATCATGCAGTGAATGTTCCACAATTGAAGGATGTAACCAAGTGGATCTGTGCAGGACACTCGATGGTACGTAGATGCATCTGCTTGGTGATCTCAAACGAAAATTTGTTCTGATTCCAATCGCAGATATGCAGCACTGCACCTACACTTGCCACTGTTCTGTCCTTGCACCTGCATGGTGACGACAAGCACCTTGGTGTTCAATGTTGTTTGTGGCAGTAGCTTTTATGATTCCCTTGCACAACAGTTGACAGTTCAATTGGAGTTGAGACAGTGTCATGCGGACGTGTTAAGTGTGGTGTTTTTCAGATGACTGGCATAATTCAACCTTACCTGTTTTCAGGGTGGCAGGGTAGCATGCTCAGTGGCCAGTGAGCGCCCAGACCGTGTCTTGGCCTGCATACTCTTTTCCTACCCACTTCACCCTCCAGGCAAATTGGTGAGTCAGCCTCACCCAGATGGTGTAATTGAGTGGAGACCTTAATAGCGGGCTTAAATCCTTCAGTTTTCGAAGCTATTGTTCAAGTATTGTTGCAGAGTAGCGCTGGATATGTGCATGTTGCCATGCACAACGTTCTGCAGTAGCTGAGGCCTGGACCAGTGAAACAGCTGCAAAATCAGCCATGCACCTTGTCCTTATTGGTCTCAGTTAGTACTGATCATAATCTTCGTGCGGGAGCACTGCGTGGGCAAGCTGCAAACTTGCTCACACGCTTGTCATCTGTTCTCGCAGTCGCCCCATGCTGTTGAGCCCATTGACGTGGTGACGTCTATTTAGCAAGAGAACCCTTTGACTGCTGCATACAGGAAGAGCTGCGAGATGATCCCTTATGCAAATTGAAGACACCCCTGCTGTTCGTAAGGGGCACCAAGGACGCATTCTGTGCAAACAGGCCTTGGGAGCTGGTGGTCCCTCGGATGAATACAAAAAGACTGGTGGTGAGTTGTGCAGTGAATTAATGCAGGATTGTGCTGCTTTTTGCGACACGCGAGACTTGCTGTACGGTTGTTGTGGTGGACGAAGATGCAATTTGTCCAGAGGGGCTTGAATGTGTTTCCTTCCACAGTTGCTGCAACTTGAGGGACATTGTGCATTGCAGGATTATTGGGATGAAAATTTGGACCAGCACAAACCCTTTGTGCACAATGTGAGCACACAGTGGCACACCATGATATTGCACCCACAGCCAATGCTCAGTCCTATCTGCAGATCAATGTAGCCACAGGTTGGTGCAGGCAAAATTCTTACATCTTTCAGTCTGGACAAGGGCGGTACGCTGTCATGTTCGCACACTATCATGAGCCTGTTGGCAACAACGCAGAGCACAACAACGACAGATACACGAGGATGCACAGAACGTCCCATATTGCCATGTTTGCTACCTCCATTTCGACAGAGAAGCCAAGATTGAGTCCTGCTCATCCATAAAGGCATGGGTTGGCGCCTGTTCCTTTTGTACAGCGCACGGTATAAATTGGAACAAGCTTTCCTGCACGGGGACAAGCTTTCCTGCAAAACAATGTTATGCGTCCATAAACAGGATGAGAAGAAACTAGCTAGCTAACTATAGTGTCCTTGTTGCTGGATGGGGTCAATGAGTGAAGATGGGAAATGGCATTGCAGTAGTGTTGTAGGACTGTGAGACTGTTGCTGTGGCGTGCGCTGCCTGCCTACAGGACGGTGCCCGCTGCCATATTCTGTCCTGTTTGGATACCAGATTCATGAAATAGCGTGGGTATTCATGCTCTAGTTGTGGGCCATGAAGGATCCGCCAACACAAGACGATGGCACGTACACTTGAGTGCAATATGGATGATTTCATTTTATGCAGTACATTTGTGAGCTGCCTGCAGCCTTTCGCATTGTCTTTTTTCTTCCAAGTTTTCATGGTGTCTGTTTCATTCCATTTGTTCGAGTGCCATCATGTTACAACCAGCTGACCAAGCACCGTCAGGAGGGTGTCTATACTCAGAAACAGCAATATGGCTCAACGATCAGCCATATGCGCTCAGTGAGAGTCACCAAAAGCACAGCGACTATCACCGTCCAGCCAATCGCCGACGATTGCTGAACATTCCGCTCCTGTACATTCAACAACCTAGCTCATAGGAGCTCACAGGGCGGTGGTGATCATCGCAAAACGCAAATCCAGGCCCAACAGGACTCTTGGGGTGTTGTCGAGCGCTGCCGAAGCGAGGCGCAACCCCAGAGCTGAACTTCGTGTTCAAGTTCACCTTAACCGTTCACATACAACGAGAAACATACAACTGCTGATCAGCTCGACGAGAGGCATGAAAATACACGCTCAAACTGCGAAACAACGCTCCACACCTCGCTCAGTAGCTCAGTATGACGAGCATAGTGACCATTCTCCAGATGTTGCAAACCGATGTCGTCGATGCTCGTTCCTTGCGGTCCGCCGCTGCGCTCCACTCACTCTCCGAGCAGCGGACGGTGGATACGAGCCGTTGAGTCGACAAAAACAGCACCCAACGTGAGCGCACGCGGGTCAGTCGGTCAACGAGATGGGAATCGAGCTCGGCGTCGAGCTGTGGGTATGCGCAACGATGCACAACCCAGAATGCACACGACCCGAAGGGTCAAGAGGCGAGGGCACACAGAATCGAACTTGTTCGTTACAAGGTCGCTCCCCTGCGACTGTGTTTGACCTTTACACACTCACAGCACAGCAGCTTTCCACAGGACACCAACCGTACAGACAGAATGGAACCAAAGGCGGACGGATTGTGGGAAGGGGAGAGCGAGGAGGGAAGGCACTCGCACCCCAAACAGCCCCTCCTAAATACCCCCGCCAGCGCCACCATCACTACACTTCAACGACCCTCGGACATTCCAACAGACCACTTGAGAAAAAAGACCCCTTTTACTTCTCAAAACTTCCCATTGTCCTTCATACAGACTTTCCCACTATGGTACCAAACGGCTTTGGTAATTCCATGCCGTCATCACCCCTTGCTGCCCGCCATGCCCACAATTCCGCGTCATCCCATTCACCCATCCCCGCGCGGTTCCTGGCGACCACCGCGGAACGAGCGCGGAAGGCCTAGCGTTCGTTTTCCATGGCCGCCACCCACCGTAGAGTGAACGCGAACGTTCCCTCCCCCTCGTCCGCCGCTCGCCAAGCCGCGGTCGAGTCCACGGCCCCGAAGATCCATCGGTTAGGGAGGCCGGAGCCGCGGATGGCGCCCCATGCCAAAGCTCCACCGGCCCCCGCCTCGCAGCCCTGCTTGACGAGAAAGGCTGCCTCACTCGGGACGAGGGCCTGCCCAACTCGCGCGTTCCTCGTGCGGCCAGGTCTGGATGCACCTTGCCTTGTCGCGGGATGGGCGCCATCCATCGAGTGGGGATGTGGCTGGGCCCTGCCATCGCCCCCTCGCCAAACTCCCTGTCCGCGTCGCGACGCACCGGGACCCAATCCGGCAGCCTGCTCCTCTTGACCCGCGCCATCAGCCCATCTTTCAGTGCTTTCCGCGGTGAAACGGCAGCGTTGCTCCGTTCGGACCAGTCGCAGGTCGCGGGGCGCGGAGGCCTTGGGGGCGCAGGATGCGGGGATGTGACGAACGTGTACGACGCAGTACAATACAAAAATTACCAAAGGGCAGTTTCCCATACAGCCGCTAAGCAATAAAGTATTGTCAGCACCCGTATACAACGCCCCATCATGCTCCATTGGGTCCTTACACCCTTCCAGTACTTGTCCTGTCAAAGTCCTAGGACTTTTTGAAAAGTTCAGGTCCATTGAAGGACAACCCCTACGGTCTATGGCTTCCTCAAAAGGGGCCAGAATTTGGCCTTCTTTCTCTACGAAAGTCACCCAAGAGCTCCCTACGAACAGACCAGCCTTTTTCCAAGGGTGCTTTCCATCAGGCCTGTACACACTACGGCCCCTTTCTTTCCGTCTGATGTACCTATAGCCTCAATTCTGTGTACTGGAATTGTATGACTCAAAGCTGTAATGCCTCCCATCAATCTAGGGGTCCAACCAGACTAGTTTTTGCCCTTTTCTTTGGCAAAATGCCAGCGCAGCTGCAGCTGCCCGTGCTGCCTACCGACTGGCCTTAAAATGACCCAAACTACACAGGTTGTGCTGGCTCTGATTATCCCAATCGCAGGTTCACAGAATAGGGGACATCTAAGCCTAGACCACTTTGAGTCAACCGTACTGGAATGTAGCTGCCTGCGCACACGTTTTTTCTTGAGTACGGAGCAGTGATAGGACTATCAAACTCAGCCATCTTTGTACTTTTCAACGGAAAACTGGCCGACTATGTCCGCACTCTTTCCCACCACCTTTTTACTCGATTACAGAGATGACCATTAAATTGAATAGATTGAGCTGTAATCGAACACATTGTACACTTTAAGTTCATTGTGAAGGTGATGAGCATGCCGGAACTGCACAAATTCACATGCACTGCCTTGGGAGCGAATGGGAACTTGGACAGACGTATGACGGAAGGTAAATGTTCTGGCCCTTTAACAGCTGGAAGTCGCTGACACACCTAGCTATTCTCGGAACAGGTCCATTCCGTCGGCGCAGGAACGCACTCGTTGAAAGTGCCTGGTGGAGCACAAAAGCAGGTGGAGGCCGTTGAAGCCATAACCGCAGCTTCGCTTGCATTCATTCGGGAGGTCATCCAAGAGACCGGCGAGTATGAAGATGCTCAGGGGCATAGGAACACATGTCAACAGGACTGTTTTGCGGCTGCAGCAGCAGCCAGCGGCAAATCCAAACCCAGGCGGGTGAAGGAGACTCAATCCCCGCCTCCCGAAGCACGCAAGAAAAGGCGAATAACGAAGTGACGTACATAGGTACATTATGTGATCGTTCTGCGTGGGTTGCAGTGTAAACTTTCAATGCAAACATGTGCGAAGAAATGCGGCAGTGGTTGAACAATGCGCGTTGTTGGTTTCGTTTTTCAGAGGCTCTGAGTTGCGTGGTGCCATCACCTAAAAACCGAACTTTGAAGATTTTGAGAAACGGCTCCTTGACGGAATTCTCATGTGCTCGAAGTGTGGCCAACCTGCAGCAGGTTGCTAAGCAGTCTCTGCATTGGGTCGTTTTATTGGGTTGGAAGAAAAAGGGGACTTTGCAATGGCTTATTGGAGCAACTGTTTTGACCTGGGGACTTCCGTGGACACATTTTTGGAAATGCCATCTTGTTCGCGACACCGCATAATGACCACCGTTTCACTGGGTGGATCACTTATGCATTATGGCGTGCGACTTGTACATATTTGTACATTACTACTGAGTGTATGGGGACCTTTGACATATGTTTTATGAAGTAGGCTGCATTGCGGCAATGCTTAGGCATATTTGAAGTGTTGTATGGATGATGGATGATGGTCCTTGTCACATGAAAAGGGTAGTTCTGTGGGTGCAAAAAAAATCGAACTGTTCAGTTGCGGGGGTCGTTGCTGCCGCCGGCAAGGCTCTTCGTTGTGGGAAGGGTGAACAAATATGTAAGCCCTGAGCATTTTGTGTGTGGTGTGGCCTTGCGTCTGGCCGTGTGCCAACGCCGTTGAAGCATCGGCGATCGTGGACTCGCGCTTCCCATGTGCACTCCAAAGGGGCCTGTTTGAATCGCATCAATGGCATTTCCTTCAAGAATCTGCCATTCTCACACAAGTGCCAATTTGTGCACACACAATGCTGGTTTCATACCGCAATTGGAGTCCACTATCTGGGGCAGCCGCTTCTTGCTGACTATGAGGTTACGGCAGATTGCGCTGTGAAGACTTCAAACATATTCCCAATATTGCTGTGGGAGAGCGCATGCATAATGTAACGTACAACATCTATACTGTACAGCCCAGCTGGCATGTGTTGATCCCATGGATGAAGCATTTCTATTCCGATTGCCGCACAATTGCCCACCTCGTCGACACACAATTGAAGGCCTCTCTGAGGCAGCAACCGATTCATGCAGTTCAA